ATATGTATGTGTGTGTGTGTGTGTGTGTGTGTGTGTGTGTGTGTGTGTGTGTGTGTGTGTGTTTTCAGTCCAATGTTTACTGGCCCGACATCCACTCCATCAACCTGACACTGTTCAACATCAGCCGCGACGACAACAACTTCCAGCTGACGTGCATCGCTGAAAACGTGGTGGGCATGACCAACTCGTCCATCCAGCTCAACGTGCAGTGTGAGTTGAGGCTTTTTCCTAGTTTTTGCTTTGTGTCAACATGAGGAGCACATTGTTTGGGTTGCTCAAATGTCAACTATTACGCAGGCTCAGCTCTACGAATACAGTGACACCATTGCCGCTGTTACAGCCAGTCTTTGATACACCAAAAATGTGAATGGGTCAATACGAACCACTGCGTGTTTAAACATAAAAATGTTCAGACATTTTCAAGACAGTTAAAAACGTATTTACGTTGAAACGTATTAGCAAATACATTCAAAGTTATTTGTCAGTCCAAAATGTTTAATCCACATTGGCACTTTATACTAACTGGAAGCAGGTATCTTTAAGACAGTTAAAAACGTATTTACGTTGAAACGTATTTGCAAACACAAAGTTATTTGTCAGTCCAAAATTTTTAATCCACATTGGCACTTTAAACTAACTGGAGCAGGTATCCTAGATGGACAAGACAAAATTGAGATTTTTTTTTTTTTTTAAACTTAGATCATTTTGTGGACTCGCTACAAAAAATTGACCATTATTGAAAAAAATGGAGCTCCAGCAAATATTTGGCCATGCATCACAAAATACAGTGGACGTCTAATCATGACAGAACACCCAAAAGAGTCACAAGACTTTAAATTGAAATTTTGGATACAAGCAGCCATTTTGGATCGAAGCAGCCATTTTGGCTCACATCCAAGCCTGTGGTGAAGTCCTACTCGGGAATTTGCCCCAATAATCCCCAAAGAGAAGCAAGTATGGTGAAGCTCTTTTACTGATGCCATCTAACAGTGGCGGAACACGGCATCCAAGTTGATGATCGTTTTGAGGATCGCCATGAAGCTTTCATTTTGTTCTTATACTTCCAAGGCTGTTAGACACGCTGCTGAGCTGGAATCAGAGCAGCTTAGGTTAAATATAGCTGGAGTAATGTGAGTCCCAATGGAGTGTGTCATTATAGCAACTAATGAATGCACAGTGCAACCGCCGTGTGCTCGTAGTGACGCCTCATCTTCCCGCTTATTGTGAAAATAATGTTGACAGGCTTATAGTCAATCAGCGCGACTGTGAATCCACTCACAACAAGTGTTTGGCTTGGGTCGAACATGGCTGACCGGGGCTTACACCCCATTTATTGACTTACTTTCTTAACTGTGCATTGTGGTATTGTATCTTTTCGACCGGAGGCCTGAATTTTTCCGTACTTCAACGCTTGCCCCATATAGGTTGATGACAGCCTGCCAATGTGATTTCCATTGGTGTGGAAAGAGATGTTTATGACCCCTGAGGGGGGACCTTTTGCTTTTAAAATGACAAATATGCATTCATGCACATTCACCCATGAGCCCAAATCCATGTCCGATGCTGCTCAATAACAATATGTCACATTTAATGTGATCCAAAGACCACATTAACTCTCAGCTGATCAATACGTTGTTTGTTGTGGGTGTCTTAACTGAATGGTGAGGCTTAAAAAGTGACATGTATTGATTTTAAAGTATGTCCACTAGTGAAATCAGCCATTTTCGCTTCATTTTAAGTTACGTAAAGCCATTTTGAAAATAGAGTAGAAAGAAGGTGCTAAATTGTGTTGAAATACATCATACATGAGCAAAGGTTAAACTCATACATAATGTAGAGTCTAGAAGAAATAATAATAATTAGGGCTGCAACAAACTAATATTTGAAAAATGATTTTTTTTCTTCAATTATTCGAATGACCCACGATTCGACTGTTAATTGGTCTAAGTTTGCCAAGAGAATGCAATTTACAGTCTAGAGAGACTGATTTTTTTTTTCTTCTTCTTCTTCGGGATACATTTTTTGACTGGTGTGACTTACAGCCTGAAAAGTACTGTCATAAATTCAATAATTCTGGAATGGGAGAGTTTTTATTGTCATTTTTTAATGCCATTTTGAGTACAATGATGAATTGTCTAAAAAAAACTAACAATTGTTATTTTATTAAAATTGAATTAATTATCAATTTAACAAAATTAAAAAAACATGTTTTAATTCTAATAAAATTTAATATTTAATTTGATCAAACAAAAAAAAGATAAATCACTTTTTTTCTAATTATTTGTCGTAGATTTTAATAAAATACATGAAATTAAGCGAAAGCTAATCTCATTTTTGAAACACTGCTGCATGCACGTTTATGTTTATGTCAAGGGAAGGCAGTCAAGGCAGTTGTACTTACATAGCGCATATCATACACAAGGCAACTCAATGAAGACGTTCAAAGGCAAAGGCATTTACACTTCTGCAGGCAGCTAATTCAATTTGAATGCAGCATAACAGCTAAACACAGCTTCACCATGTTTGCTTTGAACCAAGGGCTCCATTAATTGACCATCAGAGCCCTGCTGGGTTTATATTCAATTAGCATTTCTTTCATGTAGTCAAGACCCAAACCATTCAGTGATTTACAGAGCAATGGCAGAATTGTAAAATCTATTTGACAGCTGTTGGTTATTTTTACGAAGGGGGTGGGGGGTCACATGGACAGCTGAAAATGGGAATAAACGCCAGTGGGTGTGTAAATGGCTGCGTGTTTCCCAAACCGGCGTTGCCTCATTATAATCCCATCCAGTGAAAAGCCTACAGGCCTATTTGGCTGGCATTCGCTCCTCGCCCCAAAATGGCTGCTTTGATGACACGCAAATATGGAGAATCAGTTCAAGCAACAGCCCAAACGAATTGCAGCAGGTGCATTTGGGATGAAATGAGGTGTTGCGCGCTTTGCAAAGCAAGTGTAACTGATGGATCTGATTAACAAGGATGACGCCTGCAGCCTGCACGCGCGCAAGCAAAAAGAAGAAATCAAACGAGTAACCGGCTGCCGTGAAACCATGCGGTTGCCATGGAGATGTTCCCCTGGCATCCTCGCCGTTCATACTCTATACGCCTCGCCACTTACATAAGTCTACCCGGCGGAAATGGCCGCCAGCTGGTTCGAGACACGCTCGTGTGTTTTGGGGACCGGGATGGGTCTCCTCTGCCTGAATAACCGATCCTCAAGGGGGCGTCCTCCCCCTCCCCGGATGTGCGATTGTGTCGTCTCCAGGCGTTTCTTATTCTTCTGCTCCCATGTTGACACTCTCTGCCAGTGCCACAGATTAACTAATGTATTAATTTTTCACCACATGCTCCGCTGATAATTACATTTCCTCAGCGGGGCGAGCCCATTGTCTGTGGAAATGTCAGAAACTAGCTCCAACCTGCACTGCGATTGGGGAACGGCGTGATTGACGGCACGAATTTCAGGCCGTCACATCGGCGCTCAAAAGGTTGACTTTTTAGACCGAGCGTATTGCAACAATAATGGAGGGTTTTTTTTGTTGTGTGACACTTACAAATAACGGTGATATGGGGGAATTTTTCTCCCCTTCAGTTCTCCTGTCAAGATAACTTTGGCCTTTCTATTGTATTTCGTTTTCAATGACGAAATTAACTGTTTTTTTTTTATTAATATTTCAGTTTTCAGGCCCTGTTTTTTTTTTTATTAATATTTCAGTTTTCAGGCCCTGTTCATGTGATTGTGTAGGGAATAGGTTGTTTACATTTTGAATGACATGAATAATGAGTCATACAATTTGAAAATGAGCGCATTTTCTTCAGATTAATTTAACCTTTGATTTGTAATTTCATTCCGTTTGATGAAAATTTGTAATACAGTACTGTTGTAAAGTGCATTTCATTTCGTTAGCCTTTCAAATATGTCATTTAATTTAAACTGCCTGGAAAGCGGACCCAGTATCAGTAGGGTATACACATTTCTTCTTGTAATTCATCATTTTGTGTATATGTACTCTGTGGGAGAGTGGTAACAAGCTGAAGAGGGTGCGTAAAACAGTCCTGAGAACTGACTGGTTGGACCACCACATTTGCAGAGTTTCCGATTGAAACGTGGCCGTCAGATAACACACCGGGACAAGTGGTGACTCGCGACAGCCAGTCAAAGAGAGACACATTGTTATCAACTTGTTATGGGGTGACAGAATGACTCATATTGTGTGGAATGATGCAGCTATGACAGCTCCACGGAGGCAAAAATGGATCGGGCCCGTCGACAAGATAATTTGGAACGTACCCGTGAGTTGCTGCCTCATTGGAGAAATGGCCTTATTGCTTAAGTTTTACTTTTGTCGAGCGGCCGTCATTGAAGTCATTTTGCCAAATGACAACTTTGAAATAAAAATTAGAGACCAAAAAAAAAAAAAAAATCGTTCCCTTTTGTCTGCCTTTGACGAGCCATCAGCACACAATTGCAGGCGGCGACCATGCGCACCAACAGACAGTTGGGATTTTCAGTCTTCATTTTAGGTATCAATCAATTCTTACATTTAACCAGAGCTATGCTTGGTAATGCTGCATGAGCACCACATAACATAATCAACCCTTTTTGGAGTAGACCTACCTGGAAAGTTAAAATATTTCAGCCCTGACACCAGTTTCACTGATCAACAAGAACTTCAGGATTTTTTTTTCAATATATGCTGGCACGTGAGAAAATTTGTGTGTGGGCGTGACTACAACAACACCCCGACCCACAAAAAAAAGATTCTGTGAGTAGGCAAATCCACATCTTCAAATTACTGGTCATTTTAAAGATCTTAATCTTAAAGATGATTTGTGTTCTTCGATGGTACTAGTCTTGTTAATGCCAAGGCTTCTGGGGAGAACTAATAAAGTCAAGGACTGTTGTATCACCCTGACCACCCAACAGTCTCCCTTGCCGCATGTTGACCCCAAAAGGCTTTGCTTATTATTAATGACCAGGCACACATGCACTTTATAATAATAGCTAAGTCTGAATGACAAGTTGTGTGCCGTGACGTGCTTGTAGAAAGCAGCGCCGTGTCAGCATAGCATTAATGTGTGTGTGTGTGTGTGTGTGTGTGTGTGTGTGTGTGTGTGTGTGTGTGTGTGTGTGTGTGTGTGTAAGACAAGTGGGTGTTTTTTTTTGTTTGTTTTTTTGTGGACGATGACTTGCCAGGTAAGGCTGTCTGCCAAATAGTGATGTGAAAATATCATTAATGTGTCTATTTGTGTATGTATTCATTTATTTTATTTTTTTTAGGGTGTTAAGAATGATGGCTCGCTCGTTAAGGCCGTGTGCCAGAGATAGTTCGATGATGTACCTGCTCTTGAGTCAAATCAGCCGGGGAATTGTTGATGAAACATTTTCTTAGTAACACAGTGTTGTCCACATCTAACTATCCAGCTAGCTAGCTAGCTAGCTCGCTATCATCTGAGCGGATAAAGGGTAGGGTTCAGTATAACTTCGGTATAAAATTAGATGATAATGTATTTTGGACTGGAAATATTACTTTTCAAAATTTCCCTTCAAAAATTATGACTTTGCTCTCATAATATTCTACATTTTTCTTAAAAAATAGCCATACTTATACATATCTATTTCTTGACTTTCAACCAGCTTGACAAATGACATTTCGAGGTTGTGAACGGTTTGTGCACCGGTGTAAGAATAGGTTGTTGAGCATGCAAGTGGGGTGAGATGAAGTCAAGCGCAATCCTATGCCTGTCCGCAGTTCCCCCAGTCATCCTTCGCCTGGCCGAGCCCGAGCAACGCCACGATACTTGCATTGAGTTCACGGTGCGAGGGTACCCGCACCCAAAGCTGCGCTGGTTCCACAAAAATAAAGAGATCCTGCACAACCAGTACATCCGCACCGAGATGGACTTCTACCAGGACTACCTGGAAGGCTGCTTGACCTTCCAGAACCCCACACACATCAACAACGGCAACTACACCCTGGAGGCCAGCAACTCGCTTGGGACGGTGAACAAGACGGTGTACGGACACTTCCTCATGGCGCCCGGCATTGATGACGAAGGTGGGTAAAGATTCTGCTTCTGCAGTTGTTCTACCTTGTCACATACGGGCCATCGAAACTCCATCCCTCTATTTTCTACACCACATACTTTCGGGCAGTGTTTTTCAAACACTGTGCCGTGGCTCACCAGTGTGCCGCGAGATATTCTCGGGTGTGCCGTGGGAAATTATCCAATATGTATGACTGTGCGGTCGATTGCTTGGCTGAGTAATCGTGGAGTACTCGTCCATACTGGTAGCAGCAGCAGCTTGCCTTGTACTTCGAGACAAGTGAAGTTCCTGGCGCAACGAAAGCTATCTTTCATTTGGATTTACTTTAACCGGAGATGCAACAGCACCGACTCTGTTATAATAATAATAATAATAATAATAATACATTTTATTTATAAGCGCCTTTCAAGACACCCAAGGACACTTTACAATAACAAAAAACACAGAACAATGCGGGTTGAGCAGCGGCAGCCAAAACGCGCCAGCGTTCAGTCAACCCGGAAGTCAGAAAGAAACCACAAGGGAGGGGAGAGGGGGAGAAAAAAAAACACGCTCGAACTATCCTCATTTTGAGGATAATTTGAGTTAGGCAAAAAACTCCTGCACAAGCATATGACAGTTACAACAGGTCACAAGCCATAAACAATGAAGACGGTGATACAAGGGAGTGTATGAAGGAGGGGGTGATGGTGGGGGACTAGCTTCCGTGCATACTTTCATCAGGGGAAGGTCGAGATAGCAGATGTTGTTTTGGTAGCAGGCTGCCCAAGAATTTAAGACAGCCTTGAGTCCGTGGCTTATGTCTCTTTAGTGGCGTCGATCAGCCAAATCCGTGATTTCTGTCAATATTTGAGCACGGATTCCAGTTTCTCCAAGTTCTTGACCATCTTGCAGAGACGCTCCAAAACCGCAACAGTTTGTGGTTGAGCACAGTCTGAGTCTGAGTGTTGGATATCCGCACTATGCCATCCTTAGACCGGCAGCCTCTTCTCTTCCAATAGAGCCGCTCCCGTCGGTTGAATTTTGCGATAGATCAGTTGCGCTTGGTATGTGGTGAAAAGCTCTCCAACAGCGCTATGGTCCCAAGTAAGCTTAAAATCCATCTCCAAACAAAACACCCTACACTTCGTAACAAAAATGTGGAGTATTTTGTTCGCCTGCGTGAAGACACGGAGAAACAAGCAACGTTGCATGAGAAAAACCGCAAAGGTAAACGAGAGAGCCTTGAAAGCAAGTTACCATGTCGCTGAACATGTGGCGAAATCAAAAAAGTCCCAATGGCAGAGCAATTAATACTTCCCGCCCGTAAAGCCATTGTACATGAGATGTTCGGACCCGAAGCGGCTAAAGAAATAACCTGGCTGCTGTAAAAACTAAAAACAGAAAGACTGAGAGCTGTGGAGGAAGAGCTTCATGTGTCTTTCATCGATTGCTGCCAGGATATTAGATCTGTGTTCATCCAAACCAATTATCACACTAAGTGAGAATAAATATGAGATTATAAAATATTTGGTTGATATTGATTTGATTCCTATTCAAGGTGTTATAGCGTTATTCTTCAATGTTAAAAAATGTTTATAACACTAATTGTTTAAAATAAGCTTTTTTCACATTTTCAGCTGTTGGTGTGCCGCGGGATTTTTTCAATGAAAGAAATGTGCCTTGGCTCGAAAAAGATGGAAAAACGCTGCTTTCGGGTCTTTACTGAGTTAGGGTGAGAAATGAGAATCACCTGAGATTGATCACCTATCAATCACAATAAACACACAGTCAATGGAGTCTCATACCTACGAATCAATAAACCTGACTTTGGATGTTTACGGGGTTTTTTTTTCACCTGTCCTATTCAGATTCATGATCATGCTGAATGATGGATAGTTTCATGTTTACCTAAAACAGAGGGTTAGTTCTGTATGTACAGTACGTATGTTTGCTCCACTCGAGATTGGAAATTAATGTTTTGCTAAACAGCAGGGACGGAAATTGTCTTAGTTGTTTCAGAAAATTGTTATTTTCAGGGAAGAGAATAAGTATATGCTAGGTTCACTGAAGACAACATTAAACAGTCTTCTGGGAATCTAACGTACATGTTTGGTAAACACCGAAGGCAATTTAGTCTCCCAGTTCACCTCACGTACATGCAACCGTTTTTTTAAATTGAAAGACACTTTCATCATCAGTGAACAAACATACGATGTTATACTTCCGTATTTTTTGCAGTGGAAGGTATACCGAAAAGCATTCCATTTTCTCAAAAGCCGACAGTGCGCCTAAGGATCCGGTGTGCCTTGTATATGGATCAATATTCTGATTTCTCGGAAGTAGTATTTTAAATGTTCTGTAAAGCACTTTGTTACAGCTGCAGCAGTTGAGAAAGCACGATATAAATAAAGCTTTATTGTATGCCCTTTAGCATAGCTCCATCTCATAGATGCTTAGCACAACCACATCCACTACAGTAGCTTCTATTCTCTGTGCCTTATAATGCGGTGCATCCTATATATGAAAACAGTTTTAAAATAGGCCATTTGTTGAAGGTGCGCCTTATACTCTGAAGCACCTTATAGTGCGGAAAATACGGTACATTAACTATCAGAAGAATGTACAGTCTATTCTCAGTTGAACCTTTTCTGCTATACGTGGAAAAAGGTCTGCCCTGTCCAAAATGATTCCTGTTCTTATATTATCTGAGCCACGCCCACACAATGTGTTGACTCCACAGTTTTCACTGGATTCACCTTGTCAGCGTGCTAAAGAGTGAAGGGCATAGCAAAAGGAAAGGTCACAGGGATGCAACGGCCGAGCTCGAGTCACCAATCTAATCGTGTGTGCCGTCGAGGCCCAAGACGATTTTGTAAACATGCAGGGCAAGAAAATGTCTTGAGTTTTGAAGAGAATGTGGACATTTTTCAGTGAAAACTTGGGATTGAGCATCCAAAACATTTTCATTGAACCTATCTTAAGTTTATCGACATCAGAGACAATTTAGTGCTCATTGAACTTAACGCATTTGTTTTTTGATTTTTTTTTTTTTTTGCAAACATCAACGGAAGAAACATACCTTACGGTCTGCTTTAAATGAACTTAATATACATTGTTCGAAAAATAAAATGCAATTTTGTCTTTAGTGAATGGCAACTCACCGACTTTTTAGTTTATTTTTATTTTTTCGTGACCAAGGTTCCATGACAACACTTTACAAAAAGGTGAAACGAAGACTTAAAATCACCGTGCATGTTTTTGGATGTGTCTGTAAACATCGCAGACAATTTAAAAATTTTCAATAAACCTAACGTACATCATATATTAAACCATTTGAAAAGATACTTTACCAACTGCACATGTAGACAAGACATCTCAGCCCAAGGATGGAACCCTGACCTGACCCCACAACCACCACAATTTAAAATTCAAATCACCTGTGGAGAAAATTCCTTGTAGCTCTTTAGGGGCTGGGGCTCTTTTTGTTTTATTAAAAGCGTGCCCTCACAAGGTTATTGCTTCAGGAGACGCTCCCTACCGCATGCTGAGCTTCAGCAGGGTTCACGCACAGTTCACTTCAGGTTACATTGTTATGGAGAAGGGGGGTGGGAGGAGTGTGGGGTTGGGGTCGCAAACACCCACAAAGACTGGCAAATTTCTCCCCATGGTCAATATTCCAAGGTTAATATCCTCTTGTTGCACACGGCGTGACTCTGTTTGTTTTCTTCTTTGCAGACGTGGTGGAGCTGGGTGAGTATTTGGATTTTTAACATTTAAAATCTGCTTAGATTAGCCGTTTTTTTTTGTTTTTTCTGTATGTGTGTGTAGTCGTAGTGCTTTTGGTTGACCTGTTGGTGTGGCTTTGGCGAACATACATGCACACACGCACGCACATGGACTCAAATAATTACCATGGAGAAATTTGGTCACTTTGTGTTGCTGTGAGTGATCATCGAAGCAACGGTTGTTTGTTAATGTGTTCTTTGTGTCTGTTCAAGGACTTAGCAGTCGTGCAGGGTGTCGTGTTTGTGTTTGTGAACCCATTTCCAAAGAATCAATTTGAGTGATTTGTGTCCGTTTTCAAAATGGAGAACTGTGAACTTTGCCCTTGTAATATTCAACTATCAAAAATTACCACATACATATTTGATATCTCGTATGTGCTTTTGGGACCATTAAAATGGTCTTGTTGATGTTTTTGCTAAACGTTTGAACTTGTACATTCTATTCATTGAAAATTTAGGCTTAAATGTTAAAGACGTGCACAGTAAACCTAAAGTAAGTTTTTGGAAACATCAATAATCACGGATATGGAATTAGATGCAGGACAAACATGCTACCTCAATAACATTTTTGAGTGCGTTAATATATGTACAAATGTACAAATTGAGTTCTTGTACTTTAATATTGCTTTATAATTTTGTGCCGTCCTTGAATGCTAATTTCTAGGCAAGGGAGCCTTTTGCACTGGAAATGTTTTTTACAAGATGTGGCTATTTTGTTATTTGCTTCAAATTCTTTGTTATTCGGTTAGGATAGTGTAGCTTTTATATATTATCCAAAATGAAATATTTCAAGCATTGTATTTATGCATTTAAAATAGCATTGTTGGCATACATCGGAAGGATGTGATCCTATGTGCCCCCACAAGTAGCACTGATGAAAAATTGTAGAGCCCCTCCAATATTCAAGTTTCCCATCGCTGCTTTATGGGATGTCTGCTTCCGCCTGGAGCTCATTTGGGCCAATTCTCTGGTCTGAGTTTGTCAAGGTACAAACCCTGGAATCTTCCAAATTGGCTGCTTTCAAACCCATATGTCCAATATTCCAGGCTGGAGTTCTTAAAAGTTGTTCCTGCGTCCTGTCATGATAGACACGTCGACCTAATTTTGTATGGCTCGGTCACACCGGTGTTGGTGGCTTGATTTCGTTTTTCACAGTGCGCCACGGAGCAAATGGACACATTTTCACGAGGATACACACACTTTTTTGGGCATGTTTACAAAAAAAAAAAAAAAAATCACTTCAATATTCATGATGATGATAATAGGCAAACATTGTAATAAATGCGGCGCGCATGCTGCGTGGAGTTGCCTGCTGTGTCTGCTGACAGCTTCAACAAAGTGGGCTGCACTGATCTCTCACCTTGATGGTGGTGCGCCTCCATCTTCACGCCAGGCCGTTCTTCCTCATCAGAGGCGCATTATTCCGCCGCCTTGAAGCATGCGGCGGTTGAGGCATTTGGTTTACAATGACCCTTCTTCAGTAAACTTTCAGTTCAATGACAACTCATGAAAACATTTGATTGCGAGGGTAGATTTTCATTTTTTGGTACGCAGCCTGTCCAATGAGTGTCATTCGCGTTCTGTTTTTAATCACCGAGCGACAAAACAAAGTTTTTCTTGTCTGGAGTCATAGTGTGTTGTCTTTGTTATGAATTGAGGATTGTTCCGCCCCTTAAAATATATGTTTTGTTGCCTAATAAAACTTTTTTTTTTCTTTTGTCGAATTAAACATTTTGTAATGTGCTTTTTGGAGAAATCAAAGCATTATTTGCTTCATGTGATAACTTTCTTCTTCTGCAATTATATTTCCAAGTGAAATGGCTTTTTATTTTTCTCAAAACGCATTTTTGTGAAATTGCGTTTATTTTCTGTAGAAATTCTGACTTTGTTCTTGGATTACAACTTCATTCCCCTGAAATTCTTGCCTGCAAAATTCCTTTACTATGATTTTTTTTTTCAAAATATGACCACTTTAAAATGATAAATTATAAATCATAATACAATTTTAGTCTAGTGTAATTGAGTTTTTGTGTGACTTTGTCATACTTTAACTTTATTCTCCTGTAATTGTTTTCTCTCTCTTTCTCATTCTCTCTCTCTCTTCCTCTCTCATTATAGTACAATTTTATTATGGAAAAATGTGAATTTTTTTTCTTAGTGAAACTACAAATGTTTTTCCCATACCACAACTTTAGTTCCACGGCATTCATTCTCCGCCCCTGTAAAATAAGGCTTCTGTTTTGAAACCATTCGAGTCCAGTTGTGCGAGGCGAGAGGCAGAAATGACAGGCCGCTGAAGAAGATGAGGAAGACATTAATGCAGTGGTGATGCAGCGTCTTCCAGCAACTGGCAGCCAATGTAGCGTGCCAGCATTCATTTAAGCACAAATGAGTGTGTGATGTGCTGGCTGCCCGCCCTCCAGTTTCCCCCCCCTCGTATCGCCTCACTTCATTCCACCTGTGTCACGGCGTCACACACTGCTGCTGTTTGACCTCATCCTGTCGCTTTGGGATGACACCACAGAGGCACGACTGAGAGAAATTAGAAAATAAGCCACTTGTCAAAAGTGAGTCGTCGGTGTCATATGCGCAAATCAATTTGATTGCTCCTCTCGACAGGTGGCCATAGTAACCAACACCTAAAACTACCACTACTACAAAGTATATGACTCTCACGACTACTATCAGAACTTACTATCTCTATCACATCTTCACTCATTCTGTTACTACTACAACTATAGCGACGACTGCTATTACTATCATTCCTACGACTATTTTTACTGTACTATTACGAGTATAGGTACATTTTTTATGAATTACTACTAATGCTACTTTTAATACATTTGCTATTACTAACACTGCATCTATTATTACTGTAGCTACTACATCTACAAGACTGTACTATTATCACTGCAGCTACTGCATCATTAGCGCTACTACGGCTACGACTACGATCACTCTGACGACTAATGTTCCCAATGCTTCTATTACAACTACAGTACTATTGCTACTAAAGTACTAGTACGAATATGACTCTTACAACTGCGTTTACTATTCATCCTAATACTCTTACAACTACAACCATTACTCTCACCACTACTTTTTGATAACCTGCTGCCGCTACGGTCCTTTCAGCTTGGCTGCATAAGCAAATGCACAGGGGATCAGACACGTGACGTCCGGAGACTATCGTACGGATGTGCGAATGCTCTGTCATATGATTGACGGATAAATAAACAAATGGCAGAATTATGTGGTTGAATGCCTTCCGATAGGCCCTTTGTCATTCAGCCATCGGTCCCGTAGAGCGGGCTTCTTCGTTAACTTTTGCAGTGCTGAAGTGACTGACAGTGCCAGAATAATATGAAACTATTACAACTTTTAAGACATTATAATTACAGTCACGGCGCTGCACAGAATCGCCTGTGGGTTGGTAAACTTATGCCAGGAATTTAAAGTGATTGACAGGAAAAATTAATACGTTGGGAATTTCTTATTGTCTTTTTTAACCATTTCAGGGTCAAGGGTTACTACAGTGGACAGCTTATCATGTTATCAGGTTACAGGGTGAATGAAAGGGTGAAATATTCTGCCAATGAGTACCGTAGGCCCCTGGGCTTCGGCTCAGGTAAGTCTGTTGGTAAAGTTGGGTGTGCTACTACCACTCTGGTGATCACTACAATGACTGTTACTTATACACTTTAATTTTATTTAGGTTTTTTTTTTTTTGAAAGAAGAGAGATGATGGGAGGAGAGAAAAGAAATATAGTATTAGTGACAAAAGTGCAGACGTTCTCGTAAAAAGCATGCGGTGTGTCCCATAGCTGTTGTACAACAGTTGAAACAAACAAACAAGCAAACAAAAAGAAAACGAGAAAAAAGAAAGCACATATTTTGCAGTGCTTCTTTCTGCTTATACATGTTTTTTTTGTTCTTTTTTGTGTGGTCTTCTTCCTTTAGCTCCCTGCATGCTGACATCTAATCTCACTGCAAACGGCATTTTAACTTCCCCTCCTTTTGTTTGTATTTTGCAGTGCCCTCTGCGCCCACAGACTCGGATTCGGGCCGCCCGGACGAGGACACGTTTGGGGTGAGTTTTGTCGTTTTTCAGATAAGACAGCAATGTCTTGATTCAGTTTCCACCATTCCAACGCAATTTTGTATAGCGCATTTACATGCCACATGACTTTTTTTGTGTGTGTGGAGGGGGGGGGGGGACATTACACTTACAGTGCCACTCAGTTTTGAGACGTATTGGACTTATTTGTGAACTGGAGCCTTTTGTCCTTCCTGAGTCCAATCAACTTTGAATATTATCAGCAATTTTCACTCAACATGGCAGTAAAATCATGAATGGAGTAACGTTTTTGAAAATACAAAAAACTCATTCCTGATTAATAGATGAATGGATACATTGCAAAAACAGAAATAATAAAGGAATGTTTTGTCCAAATACTGTATTTGTTTATAAATATATATATATTTTTAATCCAAATGAACCCATTGACATTGTTGTTTATTTTCTTTGCAGTTTAGTTGCTACCTGACTATTTTGAACATCAATTCAACATCCTGTAATGCCAACAATCTTACATGCGTGTGTCCCCTTTTGGTGCAGGTCTCTATCGCGGTGGGCCTGGCGGGCTTTGCCTGCGTCCTCCTCCTCGTCCTTTTCGTGCTCATCAACAAATACGGACGACGCTCCAAATTTGGCATGAAAGGTTAGTCATGCACAACTGGGATTAGCTTGTTTCAAGGGGGCACTCCCATCTCATGCAAATGAGCCACAGCTTACCCACTTCACACCGTGAGGTGTGCCAAAGTGAAAATCCTTACAACCACTCTGAAGGGATGGAGCTACAATGTTGAGCCCCCTAAAGACAGTTGAAGATTACATTGTATGTTCCTTGGTGGAGTAAGCATTGTAACACCAAGACACCTCACACTGATTTGGGTGGTTTAAGCATGCAATAACCACACACAAATAGTCTCTACATACACGTCGACAACTTCACTGGATATTCGAGTAACACTCAAGCTAACGCCACTACGTAAGGCTAATCTGTGTGTCCAACAACATTGCAGCTTTGTCATGATAGTGTTAAAAATTGCCTGCTCTTCTCCTGGCCTTGCTGCCAGATTAGGGACAGATTAGCTACTTCAATTGGCATCTTCCATCACATCTGTTGTTAAGTGATTCCGAGCTATGGGGTGAACTATCATAGAAAGCTATGCTACTATCAAAGATAACTAATCTGGTGATCTTCTGCCAACATCAGTGTAAAAATAAGTGAATTAGTTACTTCAAAAGTGCTGGTCTAGCTAGCTGGATAGCTGCTAAGCTAACTAGCACACCAGGTGACGGCCTTGCTTACTCGATAGCATCTGCTAAAACCGGTAACTTGCTTATCACTAACTACTAATCCTTAGCTATACTTTTTCACAGTTTGTTTTAGCGACATGCAATGTCACCTCAGAGCAAAATGGTTTCTTACTTGCAGTACACATCCGTGCGGTGTAAACTAGCATTAGCCACACGCTACCCGTAATGAGCTACTTTGCGGGATTAGTTCATTACTTACCTCGCTAAGAAACTCTGGGGCTGTAATTATTTAGGAGGTGGCAATTATCACGTTGGCCCAGAGCTGGCTCCAATCAAGGATGAGTCCTGGCAGCTAATGAGGCGTCACGGCAGACAAGCTTGTATGCTAAGGCGTACGTTGCGTGCTACTTGGGTGGACACCAAATGAATTACAACGCAAAGGAAGAGTTATGAAGAATGCTAAAGCATGTCTTAATCGCTCCGTGACAATAGTTTGTTTCCTGTTTGGCTCTTCCAGTGAATAGCAACAGCCGCATCTTAAAAGGCTGTCGAACTAGCTTGTAAACTAGTGTGCAAAGCTATGTCATCATCATGCGTTGGAGCTGGTGAGCTACAGCAGCTGGTTTGCGAACTAGAATAAAGAGAGCAATATGGCATCTTTAATAGGCTCTGGCTTCCATGCTAGTCGGAGTAGCATTCAAGGTAAACATAACCAAGTAAAAGTGAGGTCTGACATCTTCCTGTAGTTTGCCTGTGACATGCTCAAAACCTTCTCCTGTTTGGATGTAATTGAAGATATAAGGCCCTCTGCACAACACGACGAAACTGTTGCACATGGTGCGGGGTTCTGCAACTACTTCTCATGAGTGGCCGACTATTGGCAAGTCATTTTGCCACGATCAGATGGACTGCCTCAGATCAGATTTACCATGTTGTATCACATGATCTTTCATTTTTTAAAAAAATTACATTTTGAGGCAAGAAGCAGGATCCAGCCGGCCGTCACCAAACCACACCAACATATTTTCCCCAAACCTGTAGCTAATACACAAAGCATGGAGAGTCACTGTTACAGAAATGTACGGGTGCTGTCAATGGATAAGGTGATCGTTGTCAATGGCCTTTCAAATATTCACGCTTTCTTGTCTTCTATTCTTGTCTTTATTGTTTTCCCATTTCCTCTCTTTGCATTATGATACCTTAGCTACAGCTGCTAAGCCAATCCACCTCTTCCAATGACAGCTCAAGAAAATACATAAATATAGCACATTATCATAACTCTGTTTGCTGATAAGAATATGCGGGTTCCAGTTTTTCCGTAGCAGCGTGTCGGTAAATGTATGGTAGTGAGAGGTTGACTGTAAGTGCTACACAATTGTTCATTTCGGTCATGTTTAGTCACATTACCCGGTGTGTGGTGGCTTTAAAATAGCAGATGGGATGGGAATGGACGCCTGTAGGGACTTGTCACTGTTCTCCAAAAGACCTGAAGTGGGTGCATGTGTGCATGCCTATGTGTCTTTTGGAGCATGGCTCTTTATGGGCACATATTTTCTCTTAATGTAGGCATGAAATGATCTCATTATGTGCCGGTGGCTCAGATCGATAAGTCTTAGCAGGACTTTAGCTTTTAAAGAGAGGTTTGTCAGTGTGAAGTGGACATGTGGCAGACTCAGCGTGTTAGTAATAAGGATGACATTATCTTCCTCTTTGTACTTTCTGCTGAGAACAATCTAGCTGCTGTACTCATGTCGATAAATGTAAAAGTAACCTCATGAAATGACAAAATTAAATCACTTTTTTGTTTCATCATTAAACATTAAAACACCATCAAAACCCTGCTGAGAGTGTTCGTTCCGCGGCCAGGACCAAAATCACATTTCGCCTCCTCAAACCGTAGTTTGACATTCCGATGGCACTCCACTCCAGAAGCCCTGAAACGACCTTATCCGAGAGGCTGAGGAATGTAATACCCCTGTAGTGGAAACACACCCTGGGTTTCACTTTCTTAAAAAGGGGCATGACCACCCCAGTCTGAAACTCAAGAGGCACTGTCCCAGATGTCAATGTCATGTTGCAGAGGTGTGCCAACCAGGACAGCTCCACTACATCCAGAGCCTTGAGGAATTCTGAGTGGACCTCTCCATCCCCTGGGGTCTTCCCACCAAAGAGCTTTTTAACTGCCATGGTGACCTAAAGTATTCTTTTATCTGACTCACAAGGTCTCCCCTCTAAAAACAGTGGACCAGACCTGGGGTGTCCTGTTGCAAAGTGCGCATATGAAGACCCTTTTGTTTGAACATGTTTGTTTTGGAAAAAGTGACAGAAGTACAGAAGTTCAGGAACAAAGCACCACTCGGGGTCAGATTATGGGGCACAGTTCCTCCCAATCATGTTCACATTGAACATTGAGGTCCCGCAAGAGAAACAGGAAGTCCCCAGTGGGAGCACTCTAAAAGGGTGACTACTCTGAACTGCTGTTTGGTGCATAGGCACAAACAATAGTAAAGACTCATCCCCCACTTGAGGAGGCAACCCTCTCGTCCACCGTAGTGGACAATACCCAGACCTGCACGATGACTAACGGAAGAATCTTGTTTGTTTGCTATAGGTGGGTTTAGTCATCATTCCATGCCAAGTTTGGGAAATGAAAAAATAATCATATATATCGGCTAAACAACAGTAGACACTGAATGCCACGTTGTACTGCATTCTGGGTAATTCCAGCCGCCCTCCTCCGCTCCACAATGGCCATTGGCAGCTGTGGGATGTTACCATACGGAGCAGATGATACCGCCGCTATTTTTGGAACTCGTTTTCACTACAGAGTTTAAATTGTGGAGGTGAAAAAAGTCTGAGGCAATATGTCGGGAAGAAATCATTGATGGAAGAGGGCCGCTCACTTTCAAGCGAACCCCCGAAAACCTCATCGTTGTTCTCTTTTTCCCCATGTTGGGCATTTGTATAGTGCATCATAGTGCTGTAAGGGTGATTAATTCACTCCAGACCACTGGAAAATTCAGTCTTTTTGATCTTTTTTCAGTTAAAAAAAACAATAAATTGTTGGTCTCTGAACACAACTTTTAAATGAGTGAAATGCCTTGCTTATGACTTTGGTACCAAAAGGCAAAAAAGATGCAAGTAAGCAGCAGTAGTTGATGTCATCTTATTTTATTGCAATAAATAAATAAATAAACTGTATGTATGTATGTATGTATGTATGTATGTATGTATATATATATATATATATATATATATAGAGAGAGAGAGAGAGAGAGAGAGAGAGAGAGAGAGCGCGCGCGCTTGTGTTTGCTCTGTACAATCATTACTCATCATTTTTATTTGTTTTCTTTTGTTGTTGTTTTTTTTCAATCGTGTTCCTTTAGTGGGATGAAGCCATCTTTGGACACAATAAGAAGCTTTGCTCAGATGCAATGACACACACTAACACACACAAACATAAATTGATACCCACAAACCTACGTGGTCGCACTTACACGGACGGTAGCCCGCGGCAGGCGGCTAACCTCTGTGATCCAGACGTGTGTGTCAGGACGGCTTACCCTCCTCTCCACTACATTACCTGAGCCAGGCCCTGGGATGATCAGCACACACATTCACACACGCATTTATTGCATCACTGCCTCTCTTGGCCCTCGCTGGCCTACGTGAGCTCTGCTGCCGGGCAATGAGACCTGAACTGACATACCTATAGATCATGTGACTATACTTGTGACCAAGTTTAACAATACAACTCATCAAATACTTTATCTTTAATAACCGTGTTGAAGCTTATCCCAGTTGAATTTAAAATGAGACGAGTCAATCGTAATCATAGACGAACTAGCAATCACACTCACATTTATGGACAATTAAGAGCAAGGATGGGCAACTGGTGGTGCCGCCTGCGACCAAACTCCGTGGTCCCTTTTTTAACAAAACCAAATATTTCTTAAAACAACCCCGATAAACATTCAATATATGGATACCATGAAAAACCGAGGGAAATAGGGAAAAAACATCCCAGAATAAAATGAAGAAAATCCTCAAATATATCAAATCTCATCCATCCATCCAGTATCTGAACTGCTTATCCTCACAAGAGTCACGGGGTACACCTTGAACTGCTTGCCAGACAAATTCACACATTAATATTTTGAGTGAGTTGATTTTTTTTGTGGGAAAAAAGGCACAAAATGACTTCTCGCACTGAATGTTGGTTTCTTGTTCAACAATTTTGTGCTGTCCTTGAGTTGTATTTTTTTTATGCACGAGAGCCCTTTGCACTGGAAAAAAAAGTACAGTATGTGCTTGTATTTTGTTGTTTGCTTCATACCCTTTTTTTGGTGGGTTAGGATCATTGATATTTTATACATAAATTGGGAGAACATGATTTTT